TATCCATGAAATGTCATTTGGTAGATCTAAATGCAATTAGATGGTAGAGTATACCTGACCAATTTCGCATGCCAATTGAGTTCTAATCCGGGGTTCGAAATAATTAATCAATGCACGAGCTAGAAGAGTGCGATGAGCATGCGGCTTAATTTTTTTTTTTTATGTTTTTTGGTGTTTGATACCATTCAAAGTCAATTACATGAAAAATTGGGGCATTAGCTTGTATTCGAGAATGAAGAGTTGCCTAAGTCAGCTTAATAGCGCCCGACTTTGTCTATAACTTTTGAAGGTTGGCAATTGGACGCCGGATAAACAATCCCGTTGCTTATCATAGGTTAAAATAAGAAGGAAAGAGAGAATCCAAACAGACTCTCGATTCGTTCCATCTCGTTATTGCCAAAGTATTTTGAATCCAATTCATCGTGCCAACAGTTTGTTTGTATAAGCAATAGGTTAGAATTTGTGAAGTCGGTAATCATGTCAGTTTTATGCTAGTCGTGGCCCAGTAGTGCCGGATTCGAGTTTGACTCGACGAACCCGTGTGCCGTTCAAATCGTACTCTCATGTTGTATCAAGATCTACCGACGGCTCTACTAATTTTTTTTTCGTGTCATCGGTTCGCGCGTAATTATATACCATTCGAGTTCATGGCAGTTTCGATGAGGCCCATATTATCGAATCGCCCAAGCCCAATTCATAGTCCCTAGCTCCATAATGGGCCCAACAACCCAAAATCCGGACCCAAAAGCACGAACAGGCCCATCAAATTCCGGACTTCACGCTCTCCTTCAGAGAGAGATGGGTCTATTGGGCATGGGCCGGGCCGGGCCCGGCACAAAAAACCTTCGGGCCTGGCGTTCGGGCCCAATTTACCCGACGTCCGGCCCAATTTCGATCTTCAAGGCTTTCTCTCTCCACGAGCAGAAAAGGCCTCTATAAATACCAGTCGCTCTCCAACTCGCTAGGGTTTTGACGCGAACCAAACCTAGTCTCTCTCTCAGCCGCTCGGTTTTCGCAGAGCTGCCGTCCGCCGCCGGCCCCGTCCCCTTACGAAGCAGCGAAGATGAAGACGATCCTGTCGTCGGAGACCATGGACATCCCCGACGGCGTCACCATCAAGGTGAACGCGAAGGTGATCGAGGTGGAGGGCCCCCGCGGCAAGCTCACCCGCAACTTCAAGCACCTCAACCTCGACTTCCAGCTCATCAAGGACGAGGAGACCGGCAAGAGGAAGCTCAAGATCGAGGCCTGGTTCGGCACCCGGAAGACCTCCGCCTCCATCCGGACGGCCCTCAGCCACGTCGAGAACCTCATCACCGGCGTCACCAGGGGCTACAGGTACAAGATGCGCTTCGTGTACGCTCACTTCCCCATCAACGCCAGCATCCAGAACTCGAACAGGTCCATCGAGATTCGCAACTTCTTGGGCGAGAAGAAGGTGAGAGATCCTGTTTTTTTTTTATATTTATTAATAGTTCATTTGAAAGCGAGAGTCAGTCTCATGGTGAAGATTGGGCGATTGGCTGATATTATGTGATCGTCGCTTTCGCTGCCTTTGCGACGTTTTGCCAATCTATCTTATGCTGTTGTTATTGTCCAAATGTCTTTTATTTTGCGAGTTTTGTTATTTTGATAGAGGGAATGCATGACAAAGGAGCAGTTGGTTGTGTTGTTCTCTAGTTGGCTTACGTAAGTGCATTAGCTCTCGTTGAGAGCTTGTTGGTTGGAGTGTGATATGCATTGATGGGTTTGAAATCAGTGTGAATGGTTGGTTGATTGTGAAATTTTAGTGAATCCGATCGGCACTGGATAGTCTTGTATTGATTTTCGATGGTCTATGGATCGAAGTATCTATTCTTGTGAAGGGTGTGGAGATCTGTATCCGTTGTGAGACTCTTGTATAGTTCAAAAGTTGGATCAGTGTGGTGTTTGTTCGAATGTGTCAATAGAAATGCTCGAAATCTAAATTCTTTTCTCTGCATGTGAACAGCCTCAGGTAGTTAGGAGACTTAGAGATAGCTTGTGGCTGTTCTGTTCGTCCTCTTGATCATTGTTTATGCAGCAAGTATATGTAGTTTATAATGCTTTCAATTGATTGAGATCAGAAGGTTGCCTTTGTGCCTATTAGCTTCTGCTGTTTCTGGACTGATGTGATGGATGAGTTTGTAACAAATCGGTATAGCACTGTGCTATATGTTTACTGAATGGAGACTGCTGATACTTTAGCTTTCCGATTTGGACTTGTGTTCTGATATCAAGTTTCCCCGGAACGAATCACTTGATGATTTTGCCCTCCCCATTGTTTTTTACTTTTACTAATGTAGTGGGTCTAGATGAAACTGAAAATAATCCTTTTCCTTATCCGTTTTACTCAGGTGAGGAAGGTCGATATGCTTGAAGGAGTATCTGTGGTCCGTTCCGAGAAGGTGAAGGATGAACTGGTCGTGGATGGGAATGACATTGAGCTTGTTTCCCGATCTTGCGCCCTCATAAACCAGGTACTCCCTACACTCTTCATTTTCCTTACATACTGACCGACGCACGTGATGGTGCTCTTGCTGAGATTGTATTTCTGTGTGTCTTGCAACAGAAATGCCATGTGAAGAACAAGGACATTAGGAAGTTCCTCGATGGTATTTATGTCAGCGAGAAGGGAACCATCCTCGAGGAAGAATGATGAATGAAGTATTAGCAGCGTTCGGTGTCAAGTTTTACACCTTTATGTCTTTTTATCCGTTTGATATGCTTCTTAAGGATGATTTAGCAGACTCCGATGATCCTGTTGAGGATGAGATTTGCAATTTTGTGCTATGGGAGTTTCTATGCCTACACTTTGGTGTTTCTTCGGTTCTTTCTCTTGTTTTCAACTATGTTGCAGTTCCTAATGTTATAAGCTTACATTATGTCGCAAAGCCTGTTTTGGAGGTGCCGGGAGCTGCGAGGAACTCCGTGCCTATGTCTTCTTGAGCACGAAATGCGGAAGCAAATGTATGTCCTGAATTTGCGCGATTGAGTATGTTGGGCGGAGCGGGAACTTCAATAAAACTAGCATCGGTTTACTGCGAATTTAGGTTATTTGATTTGGGAAAATTTTGTGACAAAGGAAGATGCTTTTCATGGAAATTATTCTTATTTTCGAGGAAGAAGATTTTCCCTTTTTTGGGTTAATGAGTTTATTTTCCTTAATTTAAAGATGGATGTTTTCTTTGATGGTAGATGGGTTTTTTAGTTGGCTAATTGTTTTCAACAAATCAAATGTAGGAAAGTTCGGCAAATGTGAGAGTACGAAAAACTAATTCGTAGAGAATTATTTCACTCAAACACACAAAGCAATAGGTAGGTTTGCTTATATAATTAAGGGAAAAAGCCACCAAAAATCCCAAACTTTGTCATCTGTGACACATTTACCCCGAACTTTTTTTTGTGACACCAAAAATCCCGAACTTTGCTTTTGTGACACATTTACCCCAATGTATTTAGTCCATGGGCATTTTCGTCTTTTCTGCTTTTTCTTTTTTTTTTTCTTTCCGTGAGGGGGCCTCGCCGGCGTCCGGCGAGGGTCGCCCTCACGGATCCCCGAGGGGGCTTCGCCGGCGTCGGCGAGGGCGCCTCGCCGGATCCCGCGAGGGGCCCTCGCCGGCGTCCCGGCGAGGGCGGCCGCTCGCAGGCTCAGCGAGGTCGACCCTCGCCCGACGCCGGCGAGGGTCGACCTCGCCAGGACGGCGAGGGCCGCCTCGCTCGCCCAGCGAGGCGGACCTCGCCCGACGCCGGCGAGGGTCGCCCTCGCTCGGGCGAGCGAGGGCGACCCTCGCCGGCGTCGGCGAGGTCCGCCTCGCTCTAGGCGAGCGAGGCGGCCCTCGCCCGATCTCGGCGAGGTCGACCCTCGCCGGCGTCCGGCGAGGGTCGACCTCGCCTCGAGCCTGGCGAGGGCCGCCGCGCCGCCCGGCGAGGCGACCCTCGCCGGCGTGGGTGAGGTCCGCCCTCGCCCGGGCGAGCGAGGGCGGCCCTCGCCGATCCGGGCGAGGTCGACCTCGCCGGCGTCGAGCGAGGGCGCCCCTCGCGGATCCGGCGGGCGGCCCTCGCCCGACTCAGCGAGGTCGACCCTCGCCCGACGCCGGCGAGGGTCGACCTCGCCAGATCGGCGAGGGCGCCCTCGCTCGCCTGTGCAAGGGCGAACCTCGCCCGACTCAAGCGAGGTCGACCGCCGCTGCGTCGGCGAGGGTCGACCTCGCTCGAGCCTGGCGAGGGCCGCCCTCGCTGCCCAGCGAGGCGAACCTCGCCCGACGCCGGCGAGGGCCCCCGCCGGATCCGGCGAGGAGGCTCGCCACAGCCGGCGAGGCCCTCACGGAAGGGAAAAAAAAAAAAAAAAAAAAAGAAAAGCGAGAAAGACGAAAATGCCCATGGACTAAATACATTGGGGTAAATGTGCACAAAAAGAAAGCCGGGATTTTGGTGTCACAAAAAAAAGTTCGGGGTAAATGTGTCACAGATGGCAAAGTTTGGGATTTTTGGTGATTTTTCCCCTATAATTAAAGATCAAAATTAGGACATTCTTTGAAATCAAGAGATACTTTTAATCTTCTCAATAAAATCGACTTGGGTAAAATTGTTTAAGGGGCAAGTAAATCATAATGTTATCATTGCCCAAGAGCTCTATTCTAAGTTTAGGATTTAGCCTAAACGACATAAGATCAACCGGACATTATTACTACGTACGGCTCCTCGCTCAATTCTTTGGAGATTCTTTCTTTCATTCTAGAATCTCCTCCATCCTATTACTACTTTTCACGCGTGAACTGAACACTTTTCATTTTAAATCATTCTCAAATTCAAGCACGATCTAATAATAAAAAGACCCGGCAATCGAACTCTTTTTCGAAACTACTTCATATGCTGAATTGTTTGACAAGAAATCATACGGGTCGACCCAACTTCTTCCCACAATGCTACATTATGTGGTGTGAACTATGAAGAAGAGATTCCTTACACTCTCTCAACTGCCCATCTTTGACCCAAAAGAAACAAAAGAAAAACTACCCCATCTTTTGCATTTTTGCTTGGAGAGGAAGAAGGAAGAAGACGGTGGTTTTACTAGGGCTTTACCAAAAGCCCCCTTCACATGAAACCGGTGGACCAACCTCTCCTTCTCCTTCCTCTCCAAATTCCGACAGCCATCGCCAATTCAGCACCCGCCAGAGCAGAGTAGAGAGAAGGCGAAATGAACCGCATGCTCCGAAGCCCTGGTTCCCTCGGGCACGCCCTGAGATCTCTCCAGCTCCTCCGCGAGCCCTCCGCCGCGGCCGCTTCAGCTCGCGCTCTCTCCACCGCTCCCTCGTTCCTCAGGCCCCCCTCCTCCGCCGCCGCTGCCCTCCGCCTCCCGCCGCGCCACCGCCCGCTGCCACCTCTCCTCCCCCCGTCGCCGCCGTTCATCGCGACCTCCGTCCGGCATCTCCGCGTCGGCCGCGACCCCAGCACCGGGTAATTGCGCTTAGTTCCCTCCATAACTTTTAGGTCGGTGTAGCCGTTTTCGGGTAATGCGATGCTGCTAGTGCCGTGGAAATCGCGCGCCGGTAGCCATTTCGAATGCTCTGGATTCGGTGGATTTTGGAAGCTTACTTACTATTGCCTTAAATTGCGCCTTTGGCGTTTGGATTAGCGGATGGGACGCGACTCTGTATTTTTGTGCATTCGAATGTTGGAATCGTTTGGTTTCCGATGGTGTCTTCTTTCTAGTGTTGTGAAAATTTGAACTTGGGGTTTTGCAGATACGAGATAACGCCTCCGGTGAATTGGGGGGTAAGGATCGTGCCGCAACAGCGGGCTTTCGTGATCGAGCGGTTCGGCAAGTATGTGAAAACCCTAACTTCGGGAATCCATTTCTTGATTCCACTCGTTGATCGAATAGCTTACGTGCATTCACTCAAGGAAGAGGCGATTCCTATCCCGGACCAGTCTGCTATCACTAAAGACAATGTCAGCATTTTGATCGACGGAGTGCTTTACGTTAAGGTATAATAATCATGGATTTTCAGCTGCGTTTTGTGTCTTCTCATGGGATGCTTCATTTTTTGGTATATCTAGATATGAAGGTGCTGAATAGGGTGGGGTTTTCGCAGATTGTGGATCCGTACAATGCATCTTATGGCGTTGAGAATCCTATATATGCAGTTATTCAGCTAGCTCAGACGACGATGCGTAGTGAGCTTGGGAAAATAACACTTGACAAGACATTCGAGGAGCGGGACACGCTTAATGAAAAGATAGTGGTGAGTTCTGCTTCTGTGGACTCTACCGGTGCCTAGTCCTTCTAAGCTAAGTTGTAGATAGTATAAGTCACCTCAGTTTTCTTAGTTCTGGCTGAGTTTAAGCCTTTTCTAAACAGCTCCATCTGTCTACGTGTTTTCCGTCGTTGGAGTCCCGTCTGCATCTGTCTGTTCTTCTCTATGTTTATGTCCCGTCTCTGCTATGGTTGTTAGCATGTTTTTCTTCTCATTGATTGGATAATGCCCATGGAGTATTAGAGACGAATAGTCATGACAGATCTAATCCAAAATTTGAAATTACATTATTGTATACTTAGATGGTAAAGCCACGAGAACAAGAATGAAAGCTGTTTCTTTATGAGGTGACTACATTTTTACAGGAGTCCATTAACGTGGCTGCTCTAGACTGGGGTTTGAAATGTCTTCGTTATGAAATACGTAAGTTGCAGCCTGTCCAAATTTGTTATTGCGGTCATTCAACTCTTCAGAGAATCTCTTAAATATGCTTATCTGTGCTTTCTTTTTTAGGGGACATATCTCCTCCTCGTGGTGTGAGGCAAGCTATGGAGATGCAAGCAGAAGCTGAGCGTAAGAAAAGAGCTCAAATCCTGGAGTCTGAAGGTGATGTAGTCATGTATTCTAAGTGTTTATATTTAGTAGACGTGTGATGATAAGCTATAATAGTTGTTTTGTTTCATCGTTACCGAGTCTGTGGTCATTCTAGTCAATGTGCATACTTGCTCGGTAATTACTAGCATCATTACTTCATTGCCAACTGCTATTATTTACCATGATACTTCCGCTTGGGGTCAGCTCTATATTCTGACCATCCTGTTTTTGGTATCTGCTTTCCCCTTGTTGGATGAAAAATCTGAGCAGATCGTCATATCAGTTAACTGATTCTTTTAATGTTTAACAGGAGAAAGACAATCAAACATCAATATTGCGGATGGTAAAAAGAGTGCTGTAATCCTAGAGTCAGAAGCTGCAAAGATGGATCAAGTTAATAGAGCACATGGTCCGTTGAACTTTGTTCATAATCTTGTATTTTCTACACTGCTAGAATTTTTCGATAATCTGCGGTTTGTTGGATGCAATGCTTCATTTGAAAGCTGCTTCAAGTAGAGAAACTTATGTTCTGTTCAGAGGAGAAAGTAACTTGCAGGAACTGATGAAATTGTCAGTTAAGGGCCTTTTTTATCTTGTTGTAAACTTTGGCTTTCTAGTTGTGGAATTGACGAATCCTTTGCATGAAATTGTAATAGGCAGAGGACATAATATCAGTAGTGTCATTTTTATAAGCGCTTATCTAGCCAATTGGTAGGAAATACCTTGCATTATGCCTATTTTCAGCGTTATATGTAGGGTGTAGTTTTATACTCAATTGCATAGGTGGGTTCTCTCTATTACATTCTTCTCCTTTTCATATCAACAGGAGAAGCAGAAGCCATCCTTGCTAGGGCACAAGCAACAGCAAAAGGAATTGTTCTGGTATCCGATGCTCTTAAGGAGACTGGAGGTGTTGAAGTAAGCTTTTCTCTTGAATTACAGGTTTTCAAGTGTTGTTGATGCAGAAATTTCATCAATGAGCAATGATACTACAAGTAATGATCACTTTCACACACTTAAGTGGCAAGTGTTTTCTCCATTCTCTGAGGATTTTAAACGTGGAAGGTTCTTCTTACAAACCATGGTAGTCTTGTGCTCTATCTATGCCATTTACTTTCAACTTTCAAGAGGAAAACATTAGTGCAGCAGGCAGATGGTCTTGAAACGTTATGATGGGTTCAACTGTTAGCAATCAAGTCAAGTGAGCTTTAAAGAAATGACTAGATATATAGGGTAGCATCGGTGAGGAAAGATTTGCAAAAAGCCTAAAAGGTGGGAAGAACATAGCTGTAGAAGAAAATGAATGGAAAGTTATTTTTAAAGAAAATGAAGTGTGTAACTTGCATGATCTGATGGAATGGATCATGTTGTCAGAGGTTTCTCCACTAAAAATGGGCCTTTCTATGGATCTTCGCAGGCATTGTCATTATTGATTCTGTGAAATAATGGAACGTATGTTATTTACTTTTTATTGAGAGGATGAAGCTTATCAAATTACAGTTTGACTTCCCTCATTTGGTGTACACCTCTACTTTGAATGCAGGCAGCTAGTTTGAGGATTGCTGAACAATATATCCATGCCTTTGGAAACATTGCCAAAGAGGTAAATGATTTGAAGTTTGTGTTTGATTACATATTCCCCACAAATAACTTAGTATTGCACAGGTTACGATTCTGATGTATTCTCATTATAACCTCTATTTACATCAGGGCACAACATTGTTGCTTCCTAGCTCCACTGCCAATCCAGCTCACATGATGGCACAAGCTTTGACAATGTACAAAAGCCTCATTGGCAATGTCTCAGGGGATGCTCCAGGTGGAGGCTCTTCATCTCAGTTGACTGGAAGCTCACATGACAACCCTTCCTCGGGAGAGGCTGCGGACAAGATTCCCATGATTTCTAGAAGAGAGAGTACGGAACAGCATGAGCCAACATTTTCACTTCAAAGTCCTCTGAAGGAGAGTAGAAGTAATCGCGCAGGACAATTTTGAAAAGAGAACATAGTTTTTCCTGCAAAACTGTTGCGGCTGATGCTCCCCTGTTTCCGGTTTCTCATTTCCTCGCAGCAAGTCAAAACCAGTTTTGAACTGTATTTTGCGCAAAGAAGGTTGCATTTGCTTTTGAGAAATTAGGATCTTCTTCAGACGACCAACTGCACATTTCCTTTTGGAGGTGATGGATTTTGTTCTACAAATTGCCCTTCTATCTACCGAGGTGGACTTTATACTGAAGAAATTGAAGTCATTTTTCCCATTAACTGTGATGTATGTCCTCATTTGGTCAATAAAGCCCACATTCTGCAGTTGCAAGTAACTGGTGTTCATCTTTTGGTTTTAGCTCATCAAAATTCCTGCAACTTTATTCTTCTCGTGCGTACAATCGGTCAAAAGAACTTCCTGGGCCGGTTGAATGTGCTTCCACGGGCCATGTCGAGTCCCACTTTTGGTGGAGTCAAAGGGAAGCTATTTTGCCTAATTCGATCCATTGCCAAAATGAATTTTGAATATATTCGTTTTGATGATTAAAGTCGTGTTTTACGTTTAGGAGTTCTAATACCAAGTGGTCTCGAGTAGAAGCAGCTGCATTTTCATGAATTTATCACGATTTTTTTTTTTTTTGGGAGACATCTGTTTTCTTGCCAAGATAAAGAACCAGAGCAAGCCGTGGAGTGGGGGCAAGAGCGTTGGCCATCTTCGGCTGTGCGGACAGGGATTGGCCGCTCGATACGATTACAGAGTAGTCCAAGTGCAAGCGAGCCTGCGAGTCATCTATGTGATCCGGGTAAAGCGGACAAGAACAAGAACATGCACAGCGTCGATTGTGCCTGGCAAAGCTTCCTTAGCAATCGGAGTTGATTCTGTCTGATCTCATGTGCTCGGTGCTCATAGTCCTCTCCATCGCTCTTATCTGGTGCACAGGGCACTTCCTCTATCCTTCCTATCTCCTGCTAAGGATCTTGAGACAATCATCTGTTCAAACTTGACTTCAAGGTGACGTCGAGGTCGAGCGTATCACACCGATGAGCACGGTTGATCTCTTTTTGCAGCTTCGCTTTCTTCACATAGAGGCAGAAAAGCTGCGTGTTTGTTTCATAACGTTTATGAAAACTTGATCCCTGAAAGTCTGTTTCTTCAGGATGTTGTTATTCAGTCGGTCTTTAGATGCTTAAATAAGTTTTTCGGGGATTTTCTTTTCTTTTGTCTAAATTTCATAGAAAAAGCAACAAGCGATTTTGTTCTTCCAATGTTTAGAAGAGGCACGCATCCTATGACTGTTTGCAGAATCAAATAAACTTTTAACACAATTCGCGAAACATGTCAGCGTTGTCCCTCTCGTTCCAAAGAATAACCACAAGTGCAATTTCTGCGTTTTCATGTGCAAGTGGAGATTCATCTGCAAAATCTTAGACAGTTGATGCAGAAAAGCTAGAAGCAAGAAGACCGGAAAAGTCGCGGAAGAGAAGCAAGTCTTAGACATGACCAACCCGGTGCACCTGTTGTTAGCCTACAAAGAGAATTTCATCTTGATTTTTCTCATGGACGAGAAAATGGATTCTGCGAGAGATCGTACTACGTGCGGTGCCTCGTCAAAGTCTGCAATCTTGGGAACTCATAGTAAAAGAATTATAAGACGATCTACAAAGTCTTCTTGGTGCTCCTTTCTCAGCTCTATATAGACATGGCGGAAAAGAGTTCTTGTCTATGTTCAACATATAACAGTTAAACACCCATGAACCTAACTGCTCAAAAGCATCTGGCCTAAAAAAAATGCTCAGAAGCAAAGTTTTCTGTGGTAAACAATATCCTTGCTTTAAGGATCAAAAAGCTTCTAGTTCTAGGAAACAAGCGGAGTCGAATGCGCTGTTCAATATAGCCCACAAAGCCTCTACTTCCTCTTCCTGCTAATTGACGACTACTCGAAATTATGCATCCAAAAGATGACCATTTCACCACAATGCTTCGATCCTGCAGAGACGGTAGTCGATGTTCTATAGTGATATCACAATAGACCATCTTGAGATGCTTTACATCTTGACTAATAAAAGCTCTCTATCCTGAGAAATGCAGAGGTCACATTTGAAAGAAGCCAAAGTATGTCAATGTGAATCTGATCTTTTTCTAGCTGAATGCAGATATACTATATTTCATTAGCCCGAACAAAGAACAAGAGGACCAGAGATATGGATGATGTTGCCCCTTTGTTATTTAAAGCCGTAGTATTTCCCGACATTGGAATCTAATCTAGAAAAATGGTCAATTAGGACAAGGAGCGACCCCCCGGAGTTGCATTTTATTTGTCTTAGTTCACATCTGTAGAAAGCTAAAAGGAAAAGACGTCGTGCAGAGTCAGCTTCTCAGAAAGTTCCAAGGCATTTTGAAAGGAAGATTACGTTAAAATATGCAAGCAAGCAGATCATAGCTACAAAATAATGGATCACCTGCCGTGACTTAATGTTCCATGTGATAATCGACGATTTGGTGTACGAAGTACCAGCAACGACAACTATGATAGCAGTGATTTTGCTCATAAGCCACACCTGTTTTCACAGCTGTTTAGAGGGAGAGAAATGTTCGTGAAACACAACTTTGATTGCGCTTTTGATACACTGGAAAGAGAACAATGTATCATTTACAACTGCCGTGTCAACTGCCTAAGATTACAACTCCACTGCAGACAGAATAGGAAAACCCATAGGAGGAGACGGAGCAATTCAGAAGAATTCATCTTTTTTCAGGTTGTCGTCTTGCTAAGCCCGACATTCACAAAGATGCTTCATAAGAAAAGATTATATGACAACGTGGAATATGACCTAGTGAGCAAAAGATGGAGCAACTTCCTTTTTAGCTCCCTCTTCGCCCTCCTTATCGTCCTTCACGGCCAACTTGACAAGAACCAGGAGCAAGGGATAGCCCACCGTCATAAGCGACCAGTTGATAATAAGCTCCGTGAGGAACGGGACTTTGTGCTGGTCGATTTGCCAAGCGACTGCCGCTCCTGCACTCTGCACTCCTTTATAGAACCCACTGTACCTGCAGGATATAGAAAGCCAGATATAAGTTTCAATATTAGACCCAAAATTGGTGTTGATCAAGAATAATCCATTTTTTTCTGCAGGCCTACATGCCAAAATAGAATCTCTTACTCATAGCTGAGAAACTGATGCACAGTACCTGCTAAGAGTTTCAGAATCATCAGCTAAGGATCCAATGACCCAGTAAACCAAGCTCTGGAACATTGCATCCAGCAATCCGTAGCTGAAATACAACACGAACGGCCCGGCATAATCGGAGCCTGAGTCCTTGAAGTCCAACTTATCGGGCAGGTCGTGACGAGAATAATTTAGCTGATTAGCAAGGCCACCCCCCCAAACCGCAGTCCCAATCAAAGCAACGATCGAAATCCCGACGTAACCCCTCGTCTTCCGGCTCGAAAAGCTGAAATCCAGCACATAACCGATTCCGACCGACCCCAACATCTGCGCCCCCCAGTAGAACACGTTGTTCAGCCCTCTAGTCCTCAAATTGAACATGACCCCGTTCACATTAGTAAACTGGTAGCTGTAGAAGAAGTTGCTGGCCCAAGAGGCCGGCAAAATCAAGAGCATCTTCCAGTTGCGGAACAGCTTGAGAATCTCGATCGCCTCGGTCGAAATGCTCGAGTACTTCACGTTAGTGCAACTACTCCCGTCGTCGCGAATCACCTTGCTCGGCGGCAAGATAGCGAAGGAAAGAATTGCCCCGACACTCATGAAACACATGAACCCAATATAGGTTCCATCGTTGACGGAAGCAGCCGTGCTGTTGTTGTAATTCAAGATAAACGGGATCAGCCCACCAATGACGCCTCCCATGTTGAAAATGCTCCAGAACAGGGAGATGTAAGTGCCCTTCCGGTCGCGCGGCGGGTACGAGGTCATGATGGCCCCTTCGCCGGCCCACAGGAGGCCCGCGCCGATGCCGAGGTTCGCGCCGGCGACGATGGCGAAGGCCTGGTGGTGGTAGTGGTTGTAGTACAAGAAGGAGCCGGCGTAGAGGACGTAAGTGCTGCAGCCGGCGGCGAGGGTCAGGCGGGGGCCGAGGACGTTGTAGATCCCGCCGCCGAGCACGCCGAAGAGGGCGAAGGTGGTGTAGAGGGCGGTGTTGGCGTTGTTGGCGGCGGTGGGGTCCACCTGGCCGCCGGCGCCCATGCCGGAGAGGGCGTTGAACATGCCGGGGCAGCAGAAGCAGACCAGCCCGATGAGGCTGACCTGGAACAGGGGGGAGTTGTACCGGAACAGGGACTTCCTCGGCGGCGCCGCCGATTCTTGATCGGGATTTCCCTCGAAACCACCCATGTGGGAGATCCGAGGAAAGACGGCTCTTTGATCAAATGGGTGCGGGAAAGGAGTGACTTTGAGGACGTTCGTCCAAGAAGATGGACGAGATCGAGTGCACGGAATGCTCCCCCGGGTTTCGAGGGACGACGACAGGAGAGAGAGAAGAGAAGAGGAGAAGAGAAGAAGTTGGGGAAGGAATGACACGAGGCGAGTTCCGAGTTCCGAGCTGGAGCAGCAGATGGCAAGTGGCCTTTAAAGAGGGGGAGGGGAGGCTATATCTCCTATTATATTGGCGAAAAGGCCGGGATTGGAAGGAGAATCCATGGCGGGCTCTCTCTGCCCACTGCTGGTGGTGGGTGATCTGATCTGATCTGTGCGCCTGCCTTCGGCCGTCTTCTTCTTCGTCCAGGAATTCTCGTACTTCTTCTTAAGTTTACAGCAGGCTAGGGAATGATACGTCAGTAGTAGGCAACGAAGACAGAAATTTCTCAAACCAATACACCAATTAAAAATTTACCTTCAATTAATTTTCATTAAATTTTACAGCCAAATTATTAAGTTAGATGACACATGACAGCTAAGGAATACGTCGATTTGGAGTTTTACCTCCGTTTATCACAGGTATCCTAGTTTGTGGGTTATAAGGGGTATACCGATTTGGAATCTTACCTCTGTTTGTCACGGGTACCCTAATTTGTAGGTTTTTATAATATTAATCCAATTTGTTATAAGTGTATAAGTGATTTTTTGTGGTATTAACTTTTTGGTTATTGATGAGTAGCCGAATTTCTTCCTAGCAAAACAGAGAGAGAGAGAGAGAGTAGCTGAATTTTTATTTCACCGTATAGATAAAGCATCCCCCGTAGGATAATCCGCGCGACACAAACCGAATTTTAATTTGATGTCCTAACGACACTGGCATAGGGAGGAAAGCGAGAGAGGTCGATTAGTTTTTTTTTTTTCTAATCCTTGGTTTTTTTCATGATCCACACACGTCCCGACTTTCGTTCTCTTTTCTCGCGACCAGAAAATGCGGGACCGCCTTACGGTGCGAAACTGGTAAAGACGATCGTCTCGTGGGTTAAGGACAGACGCCATGCATGCAAGTCATTCGCTTCCCTTTTTGAGCTTATGATACGACATTTCGAACCATCATTAGTCTCGACCAGTGCTTGCCGCTAATGGTACTAAGTTCCTAACGTGGGTAAAACTAGTTGGTTTTTGTTGGTTTTTCTTGTAACTTTTTTCTAGCCACGATATTTCGTGACCTAAATAAGGAAAAAACAAGACACGTGTCGCATGCCGATTGGGGAGACGAATGCTAAGAGACATTATACCACATGGTTATGTGAATCTTGAGAATCTCGCATCGTGTCAAGGAAACCTTTTTCCAGTTGGCAATGGATTGGAGAATCTCCTAACCTTGACCTTAAGAAATTAAAAAAATACGACCCAAAAAAAAAAATACCCTTAAAAAATTCAAACACGTGGGCCCCACCCGAGGAACTTGTTTAAATGTTTCCGTCAAAAATAATCTTTTCTTAGACAGACCGAAATTGACCTTTCTCTCCATTTATTTATTTATTTTGGGGGTAAAATTCTTCGTACTGATAAGGTCGACAAAATTGTAGACAATGAGAGACAGCGATGCATTTGGAATCTACGTATTGGATTTTAATCCTCGGATTTTTATTTAATTTTTTTCTATCTTTTTTTTTTAATTATTGGTCCTCGGCCGGCTATGGTGTGGAGTATGAGAGAAAGTGATATGAAGGGAGGAAATAAATAAATAAATTACAAGGAAAGAAGAAAGAACAGCCGTGATGTTTCCACTGAATCTAATCTTGTAAGTTCAATGATATCTTTTTGTGTTTTTTTTTAGAGTTATCAATTCATTTTATGAGTGCATAACTAGGGTAGACTATAGATTTTCTTTTTTTGGTCGAAGGGTCGACTATGGTTTTGTTTTCGGTCAAAAAAGGGTCGACTACAGTTAGTCGGCACCAAATTTAACGTTTCCCTGCTTGAAATATTGAGCTATAATATTGGGCTTAGAGCAACATGTGTCCAAACAAGTGTCATGGTAATTCTAATCATGCTTTTGATTGATGGTGCATCTTGAGCCATGTGAAGAGATGTGCGTGGGGAGAGACTCTTGATTCGAAAGTCGAGAAATGGATCCTTAACACAAGTGCCGTGCCAATCAAGCGAGCACAGTCGATGATCCAAATGCAAGAATCCGAACTCATAATCATGTCCCGTGTCATGTTAGATTAAAGCATGGTGCAAAGAGGTAAGATTTTCAGGAGAGCGGAGTTGTTAAAACACACGAAAGTGAACTCGTTGTCCATTTGAGCCGATCATGTCGCCATTTGCGACAGTGTAGAAAGCGCACAAAATGATTAGATTCGCGAATCTCCAAGATCTCCGTTGAAAAATCAACTAGCGTGGCTTTGATTTGATTGTCGAACTCCATCCCAATTCATCCAACCGGCCGTCAAAGAGGCCACGCCTTTTCCCACTTCGTGATGTTGACGAACATCCCCCAGTGACGTTCAGTCGAATTGACAACTTCTTTTGGCGAAAGGAGGAAAAAAGTCAACGGATGGGTTTCGTGAGAAAAAAAAGGGTACGCCTGTCTTCTTATACTTTACAAGTTGGAAAAAGGGCAGGGCAGCGCAAGCCATTGAGTGCCAAATGGACGACAATGCGAGGCCGAGCTCGTGCAAAGCGGCAGAACTAGAATTGGATTGTGATGCATCATCTGCGATGCATAGTTGCATTCCGTTTGTACAATATATATCGAACAGAATCGCTTCATTCTTGCGAAAACGACACGGATGGTCCGTAAACTTTCGTTCGATGTGTAATGTCGTTTCTGAACTTTTAATTTTGTTCAATATGATCCATGAACTTTAGTCCGATGTGTAACGTCATCGTTGAATTTTTAATTTATTCAATGTATATATATTCAATTTAGTCCCCGAACTATATAGAGGTGTTCAATGTTGTTCGTGAACTTGAACCGATGGAGGATAACGTTGGGGACTAGATGGCACATTAAAAGTTCGGAAACGATGTTTCCACATTTGGCCAAAGTTTATATACCATTTGTGTCGTTACCTCCAAAAAGAAATAATCGATACAAGGAAATGATAAGAGAATTCATTTCAAGATTTAGAAAGGTTATTATAAGATGGAAAATATCGAAATTTCTATATTGAAAAATGCGAGAGATAAACTGAAATTTGGAATTAACGTAATGGTCTGTGGACATGATGTTTGTAATTCGGCTATATTTTATACGATTCGCAAGATTTAGGGAATAGATTAATGATTGTGATTTTTCAAAAGTAGGAGGCTCGTTTTATCTTACCTAAGAGCGTAGATATATATGGAGATATTGAGATTTCGTGTCACCTTTTTGTATAAAAGAAAATCCAACTTGGGGATTGAATATGTCATTAACTTTCAATTAAATTTATTTTCCTCAATAATGAATTAACTTCTCGTTTTTTCTCGTGATGTGGAAGCAAGAGAATTACGCATGAAAGGCCGCTAATTCCAAACAATGTACAATAAAATTGTCAATATATATTCGCAAGAAAAAATTGTGTAAAAAGTCATAAACTTATCGTACGATACTAATTCAGTCTTAAACCTTTGAATTGTGTTAATTTAGTCATAAACTTTTTCATTGTGCCGATTTAGTCATAAACTTTTTGACCATTTGCCAATATAGCATTTCCGGTCGATTATCTAAATAATAGGTTTAGGACTAAAATGGTAGATTTTCAAAAGGTTTAGGACTAACTCGACGCATTGAAAGGTTTATGATTAAATTGGCAAATTATCAAAATGTTTAGGACTAAATTGGCACAATCGAAAAGTTTAAAACTGAATTGACTATCATACAATAGATTTAGGATTTTTTGGACAATTATCCCTATGTTCTCAACTGTCCAAAAAAACATTCTCAATTGGTTGGCCAACGAGCAACTAGTGACTGATTGTTTCATGCCTCGGTGCTTTCACTAGAAAACAACATCTCTCGTTTTAATTTATGTTATACGATCTTTGTCATATGTATATAATTTTATCCGATTCAATTCACGATGTTGGCATGCATATCGTTTGATTCCAATTGCCCCCGATGACCCTAATTCGGAACTTAGGACCTGGATTGATCGAACGCTTCGAATTTTTGCCAACGCCGACAGCGATGCTAGCTCATGCCTCGTCGCTAATTTTTTACAAGATCACCATCGATGTCGCCTCGAATTGTCCATACACAAAATAAACATTTCGCGGGGCGATGTGTTGTCGATCCCAATTTGCCATCCCATGACCTCGATTTTGGAGTTTAGGGATTGGACTGATCGGGCACTTCAATTTCTATCGATATCAAATGGGAGCTTACTCTTTATGTCTGGTTATTGCTGGTGCACCTTCGATCAAACCAAGCAGAAAAGTAACATATACTGTGATTGATAAAAGGAGCAAATTGACCATGGAGATACAATGCCTCCTTTAGCGTAGCTGTGCATGGCCTCTTTGCACGAGTGTTTAACTCGGGCTCCGTTTTGTTTCACGGGAAATTGAATAATTTGAAAAACATTTTCTCGAAAAATGATCGCTTTATTTTTCATCGTCCACGAAAATATTAAGACATATATCGTCGTCTATAATGAAAACATTTTTCCTTGGCTAATTTATTCCAAGCGATACGCACAATCGTTTTCTGAGAAAATAATTTTTAAATCATTTATGTTTTTGCGAAATAAACGGAATCTTCGTTAGAAGAAAAATTGAATGTACCAAATAAAAACAAGCAAGGCATTGCTGTTGATCTTGATACTGCAGCCAGTTTCCAATTTTTTCCCCAACAGGGCTGATGACATATTGGGCCAATGCTGGGCCTGGGCCTGGGCCTGGGCCTACCAGAGAAACCAGGAGCCCAACATATATATTTTTTTGTCAGGGAGCCCACGTCATCGCAACGCACCGCTCATCTCTGTTAGGGGTGCATCAGCAGAAAACCGGAACCGCCAAGAACCGGATCAGACCGGACCGCCCAGAATAGTCTCGGACCGGTCTGAATCTCCGGTTTCAATTTATCGGACCGGTAGTTCCCGATTGCAAGCTCTTTATCATTTTCGCCTGTGTTTTCTGGCACTCCTCGTCATCCAGAGAAGCCCCCGCCATTTTCAAACGAACGGTCTCTGCTCGAAAGAACAGCAGCAACCATGGAGTCTCGCACGCTCTTCCTCCACTCCGTCGCCTTCCCTCCATCTCCTTCTCCTTCTCCTTCTTCTCGTCCTTCTTCTTTGCTACTCGCCGTCAGTTTGAGGTCCGTCTGTTTCAGAAACCGAGCTCTCCTCAGTCGGTGCTCCGTCGCCTCCCGGACCGCCTCCGCCGGCGGCGGCGGCGGCGGCGAGCCGTCCTCCGCTCGCTTCCAGAGCCTCAGGGTCCTGGAGTGGGACAAGCTCTGCGATTCCGTCGCCTCGTTCGCCGGCACCTCGCTCGGCCGGGAAGCCGCTAAGGTCAGTTCGGTTGATCGGCAGATTCGCGTATTTCCGTTAGGCGATTCTGATTTTTCACGTGCGAATTCGATACTTTTGTAGCTAAGCTATGTACGGAGGCGATTGGTGATTTGTTGAAGTCGAATTTTGGTTGTGATTGTGGCTTCAATTGAAATTCTGTCGCTGTTGTGTGGGCGTTGGTTGTTGTTTGTGAAGGCTCGGTTGTGGTCTCTGGATCAGACGTACGAGGAGAGCATGAGGCTGTTGAGCGAAACCAATGCGGCCGTGGAAATGCACCGACTTGGCGGGTTCAGCTTGGACTTCAGTGGCATCGATGCTGCTCTGGTCAGTGCTTTACGCTAATGTTGTCCTCTTCTAGCAACATGGAGTTTAGAAACTCATATGCTGTGTATAATTACTTCTCATTGGGTTCTCAGAGCCAGATCAGATTTGTTAAGCGTTGCTTGGTCATAGTTGTTACTGAATCTCAGATGTGCATTTTGGAACTCCTAAGTAACGAACAATTATCTCCGATATGTACTTACAGTTGGAATTCAATCAGGCCAGAAATCTTTCTTGCTCTCTCTCGTTTTTTTTTTTTCCACTTCTAGCTCAGTTTTGTTCGTGAAGTTGGTACTGAGCTCTGATACATGTCACCTGGTTATGTGGGGTCATTTTACGTGTTTTAGGTTTCAACAAGATGCTGAACTTGACATGTCACTAACTGCTTACTCTTGATCTTCCCAAAGGTCAAGTCTGCAATTCAGCGTGCTCGGAGGGACTCACCCATGAGCGGACATGAAGCAATAGCGGTTGCATCTCTATTGCAATTTGCTGATACTCTACAGCTGAATCTACGAGCTGCAATCAAGGAAGATGCGGATTGGCATGGACGCTTCATGCCTTTGAGTGAAGTGGTAACATTACAGAACTCAAGTATATATGATGAATAAAGCAGTTGCATTTATTGATTTCTAATATCATCATGGACTTATTCCAGTTTTGATGTTACCTTGCAGATTCTGGAATTCATAGTAAATCGAGCTCTTATTAAGTTGATACAGCAAGTCCTTGATGAAGATGGCTCTGTTAAAGACTCCGCTGTAAGTTCTCCAATATTTCAGAGTCAGTTGTCATGTGGCAGCTTTGTTTTAGTAGGCTTGGATGTGATTCTCCATTCTCTCTCCTTCCCATTCCTGTAGCTCATCTTAGCATTTTCATTTTTATTTTTCAGAGTCCTTTGCTTAAACGGTCACGTGAACAAGTGCGGATGCTTGAAAAGAGGGTAAAATCATCCTTGAACTTTTGTCCCATGCATTGAATGATTATTGTACCTGCAATTAAAAAGCTTCCCTTTGGTGTTTCAAAGACTGTGATGCTTGAACATGTTTATGCACTCAGAGTGGCTAATCAACTGTAATTGCTGAGGCCAACCAGAAGATGTCAGCATCTTCTGCACCAGATTACAGAAAACTTGACGCAAAACATCTTATTCCTATTGCATCAATATTTATCTGTATCTTCTGTGTTATCGTAATGGGGGGCAATTGCCTCCATGCGACACTTCCTAGTTTGTTTTTGTTTTTTTTGGATAGTGAGATAATTCATTTAAGAGGCTGAGCCATCAATGGGATGCCAAAACCATTTAAATTCATCCTTTTTTTTTAACAGTGAGACAATTCCTTTATTATTGTTATTGGTTTAATTGCCTTTGACTTAGAGGAAGCATTTCCTTAGGTGAGTTTTTTTTTTGGTCAGAAATTCCTTATGTGAGTTGACCGCCAACTTTTTCGTCAATTTTTATTGATATGCGAATGAAAGTTTGCATTGCCCGTTCTCATTCTCCATCTACCTTTATTCAAGGTACTCTGTCCAAATAGAGTTTCCACTTGTGGATCTACTTCACACTTCTCAGCCAGTCTCTTATTCGGTCCTTTGAAACACTGAGTTGTCTCTTTATTTGATGCTAAAAACTGATTCTAGTTATGTTTACATTTTCTTTGTTCAGCTACATGAGTTGATGGATAAATTAATGATGAATGATAGGAATGAGTCATCCTTCCAAGTGAGTGCACCAATCTTGCAGATCTACATGTGTGTTTACTTTGTATCTTTCTATTTGTCTGTTTTAACTTTCATATTTTCCTTATTTTAGGAAGTGAGTAATGTCAATGGAAGATGGTGCATAAAGTCCGGAATGGATAAGCTGACAAATTTGAATGGTCTACTGATATCCAGGTGCTAAAAAATTATACATACTTCCCTTTTTCTTTCCTTTCCTTTTCTTTTTGCATTTTAAAGAGCTTTTGAGTAGCTACAAGTATGCTAGTCCACTGGCAAATTATCTACAGCTCTTCGCTTATTTCATCTTAGCTCAGAGCTGAGACTTTCTGTTACTTTGTGCCATGAGATAGTTGAATTGTAATGTGTCGCGTCGATCGTTGCTCTACAGTTTTGCTATTAATTTTGGTCTACAGTCTTAAGCATAGAGCACATTTAGTTTATGGACAAGTAATATTAATATTTAATTGAGCTTGGTTGTATTTTGAGCATCCTTAAAAAGAAAGAAGTACCATGTATGTACTTTGGGGATTTGATAATTGTTTTGCTTGCATGACAATGGTGATAAGTTATTTGCAATTTACATCGAATGTTAACTTTTACTCAAGAAAGAAACATTATTTGCCTTCTTTGGTAACTCAAACCAGAAGGCTTTCATTTTATAAGGCAGGCTGGTGGACAATTTGCATGATGAATGCTCTCACTGGATGCAAATAGTTGTGAACTTTGGATGAAGAGTTTTTTTTTTGGACTCCTTGGGTACAAGGTTATTTCGTTTAATAGGATATTTATTCTATCCTGAATCTGTCATAATGTAGTGGTTCAGGGAATGGAAATATTATAGAGCCACTTGCTGCCGTTCCTTTAAATGATGAGCTGCAACGAGCAAGAGGATCGGTGGCAAAGGCAGAGGAAGATGTGCTTCTAATGTTAACAAAGAAGGTTGCATATCTTCCAGTTGATATTTCTTCTTGTCACCAGCTTCCTCTTACTTTTATATTCTCACCTTGTCATTTCTCAAGCAGATGCAAATGGATCTTGATGAAACTGAAATTTTGCTGAACAGAATAATCCAACTGGATATGGTAACGTTCCTACTGCTACCAAAGTCTCTCTCTCTCTCTCTCTGGTTTCTTCTGCAGAGTGGTCTTGTGTGCACAGTTTCTAAGTTTCCTGAGTGTTATCCTTTTTATGTGAAGTCTGTAGGAAATGAAAATTAGACCTCATACAGTTTGAATTACCTTTTTCAACAACTTTCAAGTAATCGAATATGTTTTTGTGGTGAAACAAAGAGCGTCATTGAGAAATTAAACCAATCAAGTTACATCATTCTTAGTTGAACTACTGTCAAGTGCATCCTTATAAAGTATCCTTAGTAAAATCTGGAATACTAGTGGATATAATAAACTCGATATATTGCTCCTTTTCCCAACCTAACCAGAGCGTCCACTCATCCGTTTGCTTCTCTGTATATATGGTCAATTCGGTATGCTTGCACTCCTTCCAGCAAGTTCCTGCACTAAAAAAAGGAGAGGTTCTATGAGATATTGTGAGATTTTTTTTTAAGAACATGAATTACTGCTAAGGCATCCAATTCAACATGCCAATGAGTAACTTTATTTGTAATAGCAAGCCTGATTCTGTTTCTTAACGTCCAAATCTCAGCTATGAAAGCATTCTTCTTCCTATGTTATGCGAGAAGCCAGCTATCCAGTTTCTCAGTGATCTCTCAAAAAACTCCTGCTCCTGCTTCTCCGTTTTCCATAGACATTGCTCCATTTGAATTAACCTTAGCCCACTCTTGTTCAGGTTTCCTTTGTTTCGTCCCCTGCCTTAATCTTCTCCTTCCACACCCATTTTTCTTCATGGTAGCACAAGATTCTCCAACTTTAGTCAAACAAAAAGAAGTCAGTTCGGGCAAATTTGCTGATTCTTACACAAAAATTATTTCTATTTTGCCAAAGAACCCAAAGATCCATAGGGAAAACAATTCCCCATGGAATTTTGGGTCTTTGATACCAAACCTTGCTTTTAACATTGTCTTCAATCCACTCCCAGGTATCTTTGACGAAAGACCCTGCCAGGCTATTAGGAATAGCCAGGCCCCTTAAAACTCTCTAGCCACAGGGCCAAATAAAAACAAATGATCTGCAGATTCAGGGCTTGCCCGCATACTGAACAAAGTTCTGGGAATTTATACCTCAATTCACAAGGACTTCATTTAGAGCTACGCTATTATGGAGACTTTGCCAAATGAATTGCTTAATTCTAGGGTTGTATTAATTTTCCATATCCAAGAACAGTCCTTGCATGATCCTCAGGATATCTATTAGCTACAATCTCATAGGCAGACTTGAGGCAAAAATCTCTTCTGTTGGGGAAATTCCAACAAACCTTGTGTTCGAAAAGCTACTGTTGATAATTCTTATGAAAATCGGTCATAAAACTGCAAAACCGCTTGTGGTGATAGCATTGTAGATTGAGCTATATATAATAATTGGAGGTGCTCTTTTTATTGTTTGGGTGCTAATATGCAGATAAATGCTCGAGCTACTTATAGTCTTTCATATGGGGGCACATGTCCTGATCTGCTTCTACAAGAGGAGAAGAGTAGATTGCTCGACGCTGAAACATCCTTGTCAGAGCACAAAATTTCAAAATCATCAAACTCCATGGAATGGATGTTGTTTTTGCCTAAAGCTTATCATCCCTTGTTGGTCCAGCAGCATAGACTAAATCTGCGCAAGGCCCGAAAGGATCTCAGCAGTGCTGCTGCAGTGAGTCATGGAATGGCTTGTAAACGTTCTCATTATTTTTCTGCTTATGATAACTCTCTTTAAACTTCTTGTTGTATCATCTGCTCTTGCACGTGCTCATTGAACATCTAGATGCTACATAGGGGTTGGTGCTTACTGCATAATATGATGGCTCAGGAAATAGGAAGGAGGAAAATGGCAGCAGGAATGTCAATTAAAGGAGAGTCAGAGATTGATATTGTAGCCCTGAAAGAGCGGGTGAGTTTCAAAGCAATTTGAGCATAGTACTTAATTCTTTATTTTGACACATTTGCTGTTAATTCAGGTTGCAGCCATCGAACAAGCTAAGCCAGTCGCAGTTGATTTTTTCATTTCCAGGGAGACTAAGGTTTTGGTCATTACTGGCCCTAATACTGGTGGGAAAACTGTATGCCTTAAAACAATTGGCTTGGCAGCTCTGATGGCAAAATCAGGTTTAATAATTGGCTTTCCTTTGTGGTGCCTTTTCTGAGACAGGCCAATGGGTTTCCTGTCGCAATTTTCTTATTTGTTGCAGTTGTAAATTCATTTTTCCGCTATTTCTGTCTCTCCAGGTATAAATGTCTGCAATTCCAATCCAGATCTATCTATTAACAGCATTCCAATTAAAACACACTTTTTCATAGTAACTGTAGACAATCTGGAGTACATGTATATTCTGTAATGTTTAAAGTATCTCACCAGGGACAAAGTTTATCTATGTCCTAGTTGTTTTCTCTACTCTCTATCTTTAAAGATAGCAACATTCAGTTTTTTCCTCTAAATAGGTTGTTATTGCAGGCCTATACATCTTGGCAGCTGAATCTGTACGGATCCCTTGGTTTGATTCTGTCTTTGCTGATATTGGTGATGAACAGTCTTTGTCCCAATCTTTATCTACCTTCTCTGGACACTTGAAACAAATCAGTGTGAGCATAGCCTTCTTGGATATATCCCTTTTAGGGCTCCTTGGATTAGTTTATAACCCTGGGAGTTGTATAGACTCATATTTAACATTTTCTCTCTAAAAATTGGAAAATTCTAGAATAACTAGCAAAAATGGTAGACACTCGAAGAAGAATCAATAGAAGGCTAGAAAATATGATTTGAGGTTTTAGGAACTGAAATTACGTTTAAAGGACATAGGTTTGTGATTATCTTGATCACTAAGATGTATGGTGTTTTCTTGTTATCATGCCATCTCATAATCATGCCACTAATCATTTTTTTTAGTTGATATTTTCTTATATGATATATTTGCAGGACATTCAATCAAAATCAACAAAACAGTCGTTAGTGCTACTAGATGAAGTATGTTATTGCCGGTCTTTCTTTTGCCTCTTCAAAATTGTCTGACGTGATTCCTTTGAGTGACCTGTTATGCAATTACAGCTCTTCTTGTGCTTACCTAGGTAATATTGATATGAAATAATCTATTGGTATGTGATAACAATGATAGGTTGGTGCGGGAACAAATCCTCTAGAAGGAGCAGCTCTGGGAATGTCACTGCTGGAATCTTTTGCCAATGGTGCTCTTTTGACAATAGCTACAACCCATCATGGTGAACTGAAAACCCTGAAATACAGGTAGTTTCCTAACTTGAATATTTTAAGGTCCATTGCAGATACATATTCATCCTTCGAACTTTTCCTTTCCTTGTGCTTGATCGGTATGTAGGGGTAATTCCCCTTGGCTTTCCACCCCACGTTTATCAATATTTTATATTGGATTATGCAGTTATTGAAAAACAAAATTTTCACATCAAACTTGGACCCCCACGGTTTATAATTCTAGATCTGTCGCTGGTGGCAGTGGTTTAGCTTGTTTAATCTAGTTGAAGTCATATAGGACACATCTGCTTTTGACATTTGCCACAAACTACAAGATTTGCTGCTCCCTTGGTGCTCCTGGGCTCTTACATATTCTCAATGATTGGCAGCGCTGCTAGCTTCGAAAATGCTTGTATGGAGTTTGATGAAGTAAATTTAAAGCCTACTTACAAGATTCTCTGGGGAATTCCAGGTTTTTCATTCTTCATTAGATGACTGCCTTAGTTATGTCCTGCAGTTGTTGCACTAGATCTAATAATAGCTCATGCTATCATTTGCTGTTTTGTATCTGTCGAAATTGGATATAACTTGACATGAGTTTTATCTTATAGGGCGTTCGAATGCCATCAGTATAGCTGAAAGATTGGGACTGCCTGGCACAATTGTCAATGATGCTCGTGAACTGTATGGTTCAGCAAGTGCGGAGATAAATGAGGTAACTAGTGTTAGCTTAGAACTGTTCTGGTCGTCAACAATATCTTGATAATAAGATAGCAACTCCTATGAAAGGTGTATGTGCTGTAACATATCATACATTTGGCACGCCTTTTTCTGTAGCCTGTGGGTTCAGTTTTTTCTGCTTGACACTCCATCGTGGTTTATACCAATACTATAAGAACATGGATATGCATTTTTATAATCTCAGTCCATGGATTGGGGTCTACGTGAGGCTTTTTTACATCATGTGCCTACTGCAAGTGAAGATTTTGGAAGTTTGCACTAACAGGAGCACGATCCGCAATTTCAGCTGACTATTTTTATATCCACTTGCATTTATGGAGATTGGTTTTGTTCCCTTTTCTTGTGGTGGCTGTTGAGGAGCCATTACTGATGACATCTTTGTATGCGCTTGCAGCTCATTACTGATATGGAAAAATACAAGCAGGAATTCCGTGAGCTGCAACGTGATTCACAATCTTACCTAATGTGAGAATCATTGGCTTCTTGGAATTGGCCTCTTTAATAAGCAATGACTGCCCTTTTTGTTTTTGGCTGAGTCTTAAATAACTAGTAACTGCTGAATCATAGAAGTACTGATTGGAACTATATCTTCCCCTTTATCTGAGTTCAGAGGGAGCATCTATCCATTATTTCTGTAGGTATCCTTTGCATTTGTTTCATACTCCTACATGAATGAATGCTACTCTTGCTTGTGTAAATACCCAATATTATTAAACTTATAGGTTATTAAAGGGTAAGTTAGAGTCTTTATGAAAGTGTATCCGATTACCCTCTACTTAGGTTTCTCCTGTTTGACATACTCGAGTCAGTGCACTTTGAAAGTGGCCAATGAATTTCATCTTACAATAAGTGTATAAATTTATGAAAAAACCATTTCCTTTATAAGAAGTGGTTCTTTCTGCTAGCAAGGCATCATGTGAAATGAAACTTGTATTATATGTAGCTGCATCTAGCTTCTTACTGTTTTTATTCTAGGCTCGCGAGGGACCTTCACAGAAAATTGTTGGCCGCGCGGAGGAGGATTGAGGAACAACGTATTGCTCAAAAGAATAAGATGTTTAGAGAAATATCAGAGGCTGCTGCAGTGGCACGCTCAATGCTCCATAAGAGAGTGCGGGAGTTTCGTGCATCCCAAGTGCAGCGCTTCCAGCCAATTGGAGTAAAAACAAGCCCGAAGTCATTGGCTGCCAAGCGCCAACATAGTATAGATGAAGACAGCAAAGATCTTGTGCAAAGGAAAAGTACAATCCCGTCTGAACCTCTCAAGCAATCATCTTTAGGTACTGCTTAAGAAACTCTGCCATAGTCATTTTATTTAGAAACATAAGTAATTGTCATGGAAGGAATATGGTGAGGACTCTCTTTTAGCAAGAGTCCTATTTCTAGTCTTGTTGAAATGGAAAAAGTCCATCTACTTAAACAGTCTTTTCCCATTTATGATGCAGAGAAAAAATCTGAGCTTCCAGTAGTTGGTGCAATGATACATGTTCCATCCCTTGGGAGGAAAGCAACGGTTCTGAAAGTGGACTGCTCTAAGAAAGAGATCGTTGTTCAAGCTGGCAATATGAAGTTGAAATTAAAATTGAATGACTTTCAGACATGATGTTAAATTCAGGCCCATAGTCTCCTGTTGTGGTCTAGACTTGCTATGCTGCCGAGTAATCTGGAATGGATTCCAGTGCCCCCAAGATATCAATCGGTGCATAGGAAAAAGGTGGATGAAAATGATCTCTTGAAAGTTTTGAGAAAGAAAGCTAACATTTTTGACTTATGGGCTATTCGTTAACAGTTGAAATTCTGAGGAACTTTTTCTAATCTTCATGAAATGTGAATAAATCCTGTTGCCACAGTTTCTCTATCTAATTGTCTCTTCGATATCTGTATGTGTCCCTTCTTTATTCAGCATGCACTTAAAAAGATTATCTAATGCATGAGCAACTTGTTTTATGCAGATTCCCATTGTCATGTCATTCATTGTGAATGGCAGGATGTAGAACAAAGATATCAAAGCCATAAGTTGAAGAATGCGATGGAAAAGGCTGAAAGGTTCGAACGAGCGCTCTAGTCTCACATCGTTACACTATACTGTTGCCAGATTTCCACTGTAACCGGAGAAAATTTCCTCTTTATTAATGATGAATTGGAAGATGGGGAATCTTAGCAGCGAATTAAAGATATGTTTGAGGACTGGGGTCAACTGGAGCTTTAACGTAGTGAAGAGTCATGGGAGTCTCACTGCACATGTTCCGTGGGTCCGAAGGTTATATGGTTGTGACTCAATGCTTGTTGAGCATCTCCGGCTTCCATTCAATGTCTTATCTATTTATGAAGGAAAAGTGGTTGTCAGTTCACAAGAGTGGATGCTTCAGGCTTTTAATAGGTGAACTGCTGTTTCTCTTTGGATTTTATGTCTTGAAAGAACAGCTATAAGCTTTGAGCACTCTTGTAGATCTGTCTGCTCACAATTATGTTATATCTGAAAACATTAAATTCATTATCACTCCGTAATCGTTTATAGACATCTTGACTATATTCTAATACTGTTACAACACCCATTTTGCAGGAGGTTTTGGACCATTTCAGTTCGTATCAGGGCAACTTGCAGTGTCAAGATTTGGTTGAATCAACCAGGAGACGACATCCCCAAGTCTTTGCAGAAGAGGCTTCTCTTGAGATAAGTTGCATCATTTTGAATCGGTCCAACTAAATAAAATTTGATTAACTGCAACAAGTCGTTCAGTTGTGCATTGGCGAATTTTCAGGCAATCTGGGTCTAATCCATTACTTTTTAGATGGGCATCTAGGTCCTTGAACCTATTCTGGTGTTGGACCAATCACCAAATTTTCCCGGTTTCTTGTTGATAGGAATTTCCTAGATAGCACATCTATCGTTCCCCTTGCTTTCGGAACCATGGTAGACAAAAGAAGAAGCTTTTGCATTCGCCTGCACTCTTACAGGTGATTACTCCTCTTTAAGGTAAAACACAAGGTTTTTGACCTGCTGCATCTTTGCACTCCTATCCTATACCTTCAAGGCTTGTTAGAGCTCCTCTCAAAATAAAACCTTAACATGCATCTGCCTTCCTGGAGCAGGAGGTTGTGCTTAAGAGACTGCGAGCATAGTTTCTTTCTTTACCTTCTATAGTAAATATGCCCACAATATGGAGTAGACATGTACACCACACTCTCTCTGACCAAAATAAGATTCACGCATTCGCGCACACATGCCACTCTCCACATGAAGACAGGGCGGAAGATGCTTCGTCACATCATGTCTCAATGGATGGACTCAGTTTTGAGTGTTTCCTCCTAGCATGTCTTGTGCACTAAGCTGTGAGTTTTGGCATTTTGGCTATACCACGATGCTTGCAAGAGATGATCGAAATTGCTGACTTTAATGTTTCAAAGTTTGAGGTTTTGATACAATTTTCTGCTTTGTCTTTACTTTTCAAAGGATGTAGCGCTCCTGTTCTCCTGATCTCTACTCACTACTTCTGATCCATCATTTGTTGATGTCTTGTTGGGGTGTCAAATCTGCATAAAGATGGATGACTTGCCGATGCAAGAGATGCTCACTCTTGGAGGAATCGGGATTTTCTAAGTTGTCTAATTGAATGGTAGATAGCTTAATATATGGCAATTACTTATTAAACAAACCGCGTTCAACGAATATTTTAATACATATTCGATAAAGAAACAATTTAGTATTTTAATATCTTAGTAGATTGCAAAACTTATGAAAGAAATTATATTGTGAAGCTCAGGTAAAGTTGGAGATCAGCTGTTTAATCCACCGATACTCGTCATCATTGCACTTCCCAGTTCCTCATCTTTCCTCTCATCATCATCAGAAGCCCCCACAGCCCACCCAAACTCAAACGTGACATCCAAGAAATACAGCATGCAAACCAGCACGAAACAGCTCAAAAACATGGGGATTGGACCGAAAATCCACAGAAAAAGAGGGAAAGAGAAGTAGAACGCCCGCAACCCCAGCGACCAGAAATAGCTCCCCCGGTTCACCGTCGTGGCCACATACTCCACCATCGCCCGGTGGTGGTGCTGGTGCTGCGATATCTTCCTGTACGGCACGTTGATTAGGATGCTCGTGTGGCTGTAGTACCTTACGGACTGAACGTTCAGGAGGAAAGCCACCAAGAAGCACACGAGGATGGCGAAGAACTTCACGGAGAAACCAAACTTGCTCCGATCTCCGAAGATGAAGAGTGAGGATTGGTTGCCGTTCCCGCTGGTCATGAGGATGGCGATGAGGGAGCTGAGGGTGATCGCCGTCGAGGCCAACAGAGTCGAGGCCATTATGTTGTTCCTCAGCGTTTGGACCGCGAGAACGCCGGTCTTGGAGACATCCTGCAACACAAGTCGGACGCCACGAAAAAGAAGAAAGGTCAAGAAGCATTTCCGGGGGAGACAAAAGAGAGGAGGGAGACAAACCACATTACCTCCATCATAGCTTGAACCCAGAATCGCCGATTAATGGCGGTCACGCCGATGACGGTCTTGGTGGGGTGCTTCACGATCCGATGGAGGAGCCATGCATGGTAGGCCATCATTATGAACAAGCCCAAGGGGACCAACGTGTAATCAAGAACCTTCTTGTCCATAATAACCTATAAGGAGCAGATAGTTGTACAAGCAAGAAAGAAGAGAAGATCAAACGGAGATGAAGAAGAAGAGGGTCTTTGCGGACTCAGTAAATCGGCAAAGGAGAGAAAAACAAGGGATCCTTATAACAAACCTGTGAACATGCACTTTTTGCTGAGGCGACGAGAGGAGTGAATTGAATTGGCTTTTGCTTGCGTGGATCGGACTAGTGGGAGACGCACCTTTTCAAACTCATGTTTTTTGTCCGGGACATATTAAATCGCTAACATAATAAACAAGGTCGCTCACGTTATTCGAAGGGTTCCTTTCTCTGTTTTTGTACAGTAGGAACCAACCATGGGATCATGTGTCTTTTCTTAATAGTCAGTCGCGTCTGAACGCCGTTCATCCTCCTCTCCTTCGCCACAAAAATTAATGAGAGCTTTTGGCACGGGGGATGAAATTACACTTTTAATAGCAGCTGTGTACGTCATCATTACTCTTCATAGTGATTGTGAGATTTGGTAGGATCACAACCAACTATTTTAAAAGTTTAAACTGTTAGACGTACACGTGATTTATTATTTTAATATTCTAATACTTTCTCTTATACTTAATATGGTCAGTTTACTTGATACTAAACTTGAACATATTTAATTGTGCTCTAATACCATGTGAGATTTGGTGGGACCACAATCAATTATTTTAAAAACTTAAATTGTAAGATGAATGCGTGATTTATTATTTAAATATTCTAATAGTGATCACCTCTCATATGATGTCATAATGGCTTTTAGCGTTTTTGAATTTTTTGTTCGTTTTTGAAGTTATTAAAACGATGGTGGAATTACCCACCCATGGGTAGCTCAGTTGGTTAGGGCGTATTTGAGATTGTGTGGTTAGGCGCACTGGTCCCAGGTTCGATTCCCCAGCTGAGCACTTGTGATTTAAGTGGAGGGCCATGGCGGTGGGTTGCTGTGCTAGTCTCCCCCGAGGAATAGTCGAGGTGCGCGCAAGCTGGCCTGGAAAAAAAAACGATGGTGGAACTATGTTGAATCGAGAGTGCTTCTTTCGATGTTATAGAGGAATAGACATGCTACTTTTATTAGTTCTAACTAATCGATATGTTTTTTTGACTATGGGTAATTAAATAAAAAAAAAAACATAATTGATATTTAGACATGACAAACATTGTCTATATAAATGATAATAATTAAAACTTTTAGTGTTGATGTAACCAAACGTTTTTTTGGGTGCGTTTGGTAATCATTATGTTCTCGGAAATAGTTTCTGCTCAGAAATGATTTTTTTTATTCCATTCTCAGAAATAATTTCAAAGCATTTAAAGACGTTTGATAACTACCCAAAATTTATATTCTTAGAATAGAAAAAAGAACAAAAATGCGTTTGGTAACCGCAAAAAATTTCTTTTTATTAATAATATTTTGAATTTTTAATATTTCTTCTCTTTTTTTCTTCTTCCCCTTCCTTGGCCCATGTTCAGGTTGCCGGCGCCGGTGACTGGCCATAGGCCAGGGCCAGTGAGGGCGTCGAGGCCCTCGTCGCTTGGGTGAGGGCTGCTCTCGCCAGATCCGGCGAGGGCAGCGCCACCAGCGACTGGCCACAGGCCAGGAAAAATGAAGAAGACCAACCAAGAAGAAGAATAAGAAAAAAAAAATTTCTTTTCCACTTTTAATTCTTGTTCCCAGAATCAAGAATCAACTTTTTTTTTATTCTTGATTTTGTTCCAAAACTAATTTTAGGAACAAATTTATGCTTGGGAATAAAAAATTTACCAAACGAATTTCTGTTATTCTTTTGTTCCGGGGAACAAAAGAATAGAATTGGATACTATTTAGCCGGTTACCAAACAACCCCTTTGTATATAGAAACATTTAAATAAATGAAATATAGATAATTATCCAAAAATTTCTAAACTTATTATATGACGGCTAATTCAATTCTAAAATTTTTAATCCGGCCAATTTTTTGTGGTTGAAATTTAACCATTTTAATCATAAAGCTGGACAATTTGCCAATGTAGTCATTCCGATTAATTTTGCTCGAAAATAACTGACATAGATGTCGCCATCTTACGTGGCGCAACCGGCGTTGACGTGAATGATTTTTTTGTAAAAATTTATGATTTATTTTTGCCTTTTCTTTACTTTCCGTTCTCTTTTTTTTTTCCCTCCACCAGTTGTCAGGGCCTCGACGATAGCTGGCAATGGTTGCTGGCCACAGGGAGGGCGTCACGGCCCTTGTCCATCACAATAAGGGCTTGCAGGCCCTTGCCTAGATTTGGTGAGGGTGCTCGTTAGCCGTTGCTGAGGCCCTAGTGATCGACAAAAGGAAATAAGAAAAAAAGAAAAGAGAAAATAAAAGAAAAGGAAGAAAAAGGAAAATTTCCAAATCGTCCACATTAGCGTCAACCAAGTTATGTAAAACGACTAATGATAATTGGACTATCACGCCAGTGATTTCCGATCAAAATTGGTCGAAATGACTAATTGGAAATCGTCTAAAAGTTTAGGACTAAATTAGTCAAATTGAAATGTTTAAGACCCATTTGATTGCTGCACAATAGGTTTAGAGCTTTTTGGACAATTTTATCAACTAAAACAAGTTAAATGAATTTAGTGTTTATAAATGTAACCAAATGGCACCTAATTATTAAACTAATTAGAAATTATAAGATGGAGATTAAAGAAATCGCATTGTTATCATCTCAGTCACTTTTTGCAATATCAATCTGTCGTTAGTCTATCTTGTACGATTGTGATTAATCTGAATAAAATACACGAGCTTTCACAATATTTATTAGTCAAGAGTTGAGTTGAAGTTACTTTTGGATTATTATAGTTAGTGTGAGATTAATTAGTGAGAATTTGAGAGCAGCAAGGTACCTGCTTTTGGCATGTGCAAGTCCACTAATGGAAGGCTCCAGTAAGGAGAGCGTATATGACTCGATATTCGGACACACTATAGAATGCCATTACCATAAAATCAGCTACCTTTACTAATTCCTATTTGTTGACACCCGAGTTTGCTCGCGAGTCTTACCTTTACTAATTCCTATTTGTTGACACCCGAGTTTGATTTACTAATTCCTTTTTGTTGACACCCGAGTTTGCTCGCGAGTCTTACCTTTACTAATTCCTATTTGTTGACACCCGAGTTTGCTCGCGAGTTTGTCGACTGTCTCAGCTAGGGGCGAGCGGTTTCAAGTTCCACACAGTGAAACCTACCCATGGGAACATGTTCATCATTTTTTGGAATGTGGAATTTACTCTACATACCTTGGAACTTGAAACCTATCCCGTCAAAGGTTCCGGGGTCTACTCAGATTCCACCCGTATTATTAATTGAATAATTACAGTGAATCATTATCTTGAACGACCACCACTTGCAGCTACGATTCTCTAACAACAACTTATATTTAGAGACAAAAAATATAAAATATTAACAAGTTATAAAATGAAAACTCATACTAGTAGTTTCAGATTATACACTCATCATCTAACGCCATGAAACACCGTAGGATCATGTGAAGACGTAGATCAAGAAAAAACACAAAAAACTTATTTAAGGTTCTAGATTCCAGGTTCAATGTTTCACCTACTTAGAACCTGGAACCTACCCATCAAAACAGGTTCATCAATTTTTGAAACCTGAAACATACCTTACATATCTTGAAACTTGGAACTTACAGGTTCCCATCGGTCAGGTTCTCAAGTTTCAGGTTTTACCTTGGAACCATGCTCACCCCTAGTCTCAGCTCAGGGATGGAATTCGCGAACGGCGTTGGAATTCAACCCTAAACCGAAGAAGTCGTCATTTCA